ACTCTCTCCTAACACTCCCTCCGTCCCATCGGTTCTCACTTTCACTTTTACGTAGGTTCCTGATTCTGATTTTCATTTTAAAAAATAATTAATAATCTTAAGTGATCAATTAATCGTTAAATATAAAATATAACACATTTATAATATCACATTTATCAATATTAACTACATTATAATATATACTTATTAAAATTGTTTCTTAAAATGTACTCGAAATACTTTATTTAATTATAGTCTAAGTAATCGTGTCGTTTTGTTATGGAACCTTTCAACCGGACGAAGATAGTAATATAATTATTAGGCACGCAATGTAATTTTAGTGTTATTAATATTTGTATGTTTACTCAAATTTCTTAAAAGTAAAAGTGAGTCACAAAGTTTTCTAATTTTTAAATTTAAGTGTTCGCCTGGGCTTTGTAAATACTCCCCCCGTTCCCAAAAATACTTCTCACTTCCCTTTTTGGGTTGTTCCCAAAAATACTTCTCACTTTCCCATTTTGGACAATTTGTGTGGCTCACATTCATTTTACCTTTTTCTTACACAACCACAACCATACATTTCCACTTTATTCCACTTTCTTAATAAGCGTGCCAAGTCAAACCAAGAAGAATTTTTAGGAACGGAGGGAGTAAATGATTATTTACCATTAATATAAATGGTAACAATCAACATTTCACACTTGCCGAGACACAACTTTGACCATTAATATAAATGATTTTGTATTAGTAAAAAATTAAAAATATTTAGATTCTGGAAATTTATAATGAGACAAGTTTAACAATATTTTTTCATAAAATAATATTATTACATTAATAAATAAAATGTAGTCAAAGTAGAACATGTGAATAGTGTAAAAGTCAAAGTATTGCATTTATTTAAGAACGGAAGTAGCAGTTAATATCATCTTTTCACCTCTTTTTTGTCGCTGTTTCAATCTTTCACCAGCGATCATGGTTCCCTCCGTATGGTAGGGTTTGTTTCTTTGCCCGTCAATTTGGTATGTTCCTTTTCGGTTGAGTTTGGATTGATATTTTCCGGCCGCCAATTCAATTTGTGCGAACAAAGGTCGATCAATGTTTTCTTGCTTTCAGGTTTTCCTTTTTTAGGGACTAAGGTTTCCAAGTGCTTTGTCAAGAACTGTTGTGACAATTTGATTGATTTTGCTTTGTGCTTTGTCAAGAACTGTTGTGATTCGAAGGTAGGGCTATGTGACTGCAATAGGCGGATTACTAGAATGAATAAGGAGCAAAGAGAAGAGAAGATGCGATGTTGTTGATTCATCCCCTCCGGAACCGTCGCCGTGGAGGAATCGTGTGATTAAGGTTCGGAAGATGCTGTTTCAAGTTTGGATTTGCGCACAAGTGGTTGTACCCCAACAGTTGTACCCCACCGGGTACAGGATCAGGATTCTCGTGATATCGAGGAGGCAACATTATTTTAATTATCTTGCTCTTAATTGAATTTTTTGTTTCGAACTAAATGCTCTTTTGGCTATTTTCTTTATTTCTACTAGCACAACTCTAGAGTGTATGTTGTGTGATGAAAGGTCTATTGTGTTCGTCATCGGCTCAGTTAAGCACATTATAGGATCAACGAGTCATATTGTTTCTTTGGAGGTGATAGACTATGAGTTTGGTTTGAGGGTAGACGGTCAGAAAGGGACTCTTTTTTTTGTATCTTACCCGAATTAAAAAAAAGGTCGTTAATATATGTAATTTAATAAAAAAATAGGGAAAAAGGTCAGATAGGCTCTCGAACTTACAAAAAAAAATGTAAAATAAGGCCTTATATAGGAGGTTCTGTCCGGCCAACGCCATTTGGGTCAGTTACCGCTGGAATTTTTCAATGAAACTTTTTGAACATTTTATTCATTAAGTCTAGTTTACTCATACCAATTTTCAACTAAAACTTCAATCGTGAAGGTATTCAAATAAATTCTTGAAGATAAGTGTGCAGTTAAAAGCGCAGTTATCTTCAAGAATTTATTTGAATGCCTTTCCAATTGAAGTTGTAGCTGAAATTTGGTATGAGTAAACTAGACTTAATGAATAAGATGCTCACAAAATTTCATTGAAAAATTCCACCGGGAACCTCCCCAAATGGCGTCAACAAGACAGAACCTCCTATATAAAGACCACATTAAGAGTGCCACATTGCCACGGAGTAATATTTAAATCTTCTTCCCTTCGTCCCAATTTGATAGTCTCATTTCTTTTGGGCACAAGTTTTAATAAAGTGGTTGAAAAGGTAAAATTTTTGGTTGAGATTTGAGTATAATAAAGTGAAATGATATGAACCACATCTTTCTTTCCAAAAAGGGAAACAAGACCATCATTTTGGGACATCCCAAAAAGGAAATACATGACTATCATTTTGGGACGGAGGGAAACTACTTTTCCGTACTTGTAACTTATACTTCAGTCGTCACTTAAAATTTGGTCAGATTTGACCGACACGAAAATTAATAAAGTAAAAGTTGTATAATTGAGATTTGTGCAGAATAGACAGAATTTACTGAAACTATAAAGTGTATAATTAAAATAGAAAGCAGCAAAATTAATGAAACAATGATAAGTTTTAGGGCCCGTTTGGTTGGGGGTAATCTCACATGAAGGCCGGAATGTGATGCACGGAATGTCAGATACCCTTGTTTGGTTCACAGGTTTGAAGAAAAATCGGGAAAGTTACATTCCTTGGAATGTTATATGGAGGGGAATGTTAAACCCATCCATGCCTTAGGTTATCTAACATTCCCGATGTGATCTAATTTTTTTTCGAAAATACCTTCAATTAATTATCTCTTTTCATTTAATTTCTTTATATATTCATCTGTTATCAAATTTAATTTTTTGTGACTTTATAAAACTTTTAATGTAGTGTCTAAATATGTAAATTTTATTTACTAAAAATAATCTTATTATTAACAGAGATCGGTTAGTTTCATGGTCAGTCGAACATCGTAAATTGTGTAACAACCTTTATGGTCGGATGAACAGAGCATTAATAATATTTGAATGTCTTTTTTTTCTTTTTTTGAAAGGAAAATGACTATATTGATATCATTAGAAGTAGTATCGTTACAACAATCTCAAAATGACTAGAACTGACAACAACCTTCACCTTCCAACTACTACTTTTAGCTCTACGGTTAGACATAGAGACGACCACCCCTAAAGGAGCAATACGAATCGCTAACCACCAGACGGGCTTAATGCAGCTATTGCTGAAAAAATAGATCTGTTCCCCACTAACAATATCAAATGTAGTCGAACCCTCGATCAATGTGAAAAACATATTACCATAAGCAACTACCAAATGCAAAACAATAGCAATGAATTTATTCGAAAATAGATACAAATGGGGACAATGAATTTAAGCAAGATGAACTTATTGAGCCATCAAACCCAATCCTCTAGCACGGTGTTTCGACCCCTAATCACCCATTTCCAGCATGGCGGCGATTCAAGAGGAGGGCGGATCTTCATGCTTTCATCTTTTTCCTTCAACACCCTGATCTGCCCGTGATTCGCCTCCATCTCTGGGCCAACATACCGCACGAGCACAACCAGTCCAAACGCGAACAGTCTCCAGATCCATATCATATCCCCTGTGCTGCAATTGAGATTCGCCAAGACCCTTCGATCCCGAATGCTCCCACGCCCCACCCTATGCTTTAGATGAGGAAAACTAGCAAAACTCCGGGACACTGAAGCGCCAAGAAAGCTATAGCGTCACCCGCTGAAAACCTAGACTTGCTAGGACCGCCGCCGCCGTGAACCTAAGCCCTTCGCCGCTCCGAAGCGATGAGGGAAAACCCTAGTGGAGTATGCTGAAACATTAGCTACCGCCTGTTACGAAATACAATTAATAATCTATTGATGTCATTATATTCGAATGTCTATTCTTGTTATTTGCATATTTTTTGTTTTAACATATAATTTTTTTAAGGTATTTATGTTATAAGAGTTATAGATTTAAAGCACATAAAAGTAATTCATCATATCTACAATATAAGATATCTTTCAACCAAATACATTATGACACATTTCCTTGATGTTAACCAAACATAAATGGGAATGAATTGAATACATTTCCATCAATATAACATACCCAACAATCTCACATTCCCATGGTAATCTGACATTCCCTGAACCAAACATACTCGTTACTTCATAGTTAAATTATTACTCTGTATATTAGTATGGAGTATATGAGTCGTACTCTTCTTCATTTCCTTCTCTCCATTTGGTCTCCCCATTTCTTTTTCACTCTATCTCTCCTTTAAAATAATAATTAAACTCCATCTTTTCTTTCTCCCTAGCCACCTGATGGAGTATATGGCCCAGAGACCCCCGGCCCACATACTTCCACTACCGCAATTAGGCCCAACAGGCTCAAACGGGCCAAGCCCAGCGAGATGGAGCTCTAAGCAGCCCACAATACACAAAGGGGTGCCTTCGGCCCCATGACCGAAGGCTACCAATGACAAAATCGAACTCAGAAACATCACAGGAGGGCAAGGCTTGAAAACCAAGCCTTCGGCATTTAGAGCCCTCGACACTATGAAGCCCCCGGTACGAAGAGCCTTCGGCTTATCATCTACAGCCGAGGGCGACTTCCCCGACAGAATATCCTCTCCACATGCGCCTGAATCACCGTACCGAGTACAACGTCGCATCCAACCACCGCATTTAATGCGGTCACATGCAAGTGCTGGTGCCACTCCGAATGAGGTGACCCTCGGCCGTCGGATGCTTGACACGTGTCCCTGTCTAGCATTTATTGCTGCTATAAATAGCACCATTTTTCCCCCGTTGTAATCCACGACTTGAATACATGACTCATATATTCGAATACACTCTCTCTCTTACTTATTTGCTCTGACTTATTTCTAAGTTATTAACGCAATAACTCCCCGGATAAGCTACACCTGTTACACTATCCATCCCCACCCTTTCCCATCTCAGTCTATCCCTCCTAATGGACAATTCAGGTCACCATTCGGAGTATATACCATCTAAAATGTTTTTTTTAGTTCACCGGTTTCCTGCTTCTTGTTTGTGGCCGCTTTGCCGGTACGCCAAAGCCAAGCCAATCATGCTCTTAAAAAAAAAAAACAGGTCACGCAAGCTCCCATTTTGCCCTTTTCTTCTTCCTGATTCCATTCTTTTCGGAAATCGAAAAGTTATCTGGAGTTTGGAGTCCAGCCCTGATTTAGTGAATTAAAGACCCCATATATCTCTAAGAGGGAAAAGAAAAGACAGCAAAACGAAATCTTTTTTCTATCATTAAACCTGGGAGAAGAGGGAGCATTCTTCATTTGTTGTTTATTACTTGTTGAAGCGGTAACCAAATGGGCGAGGAGAACACCTCCAATTCTTCTTTACATGATTCACCCAATAATAGCAGCTGTGAGACACAAGTCATATTGAACGTGTATGATCTCACCCCTATAAACCACTACACCGTTTGGTTTGGAATTGGCATCTTTCATTCTGGCATTGAAGGTTAGCCGATAGAGAATGAATTTTTTTTATGTGATTGTTCAAATTTTCACCATTCCTGGTCTTTTTGTTCTGATGTGCATGAATTTTAGATCTCAATCCTCCGCCCTTCCTATTATTCTTGAAATTTAAGTTTTTTAAGGGAGATACTAATGGTGTATTCTTCCTTTGTCTTAATACTGTAATAGTCTTTAGGACTTAAAAGTAACAGTTGGCTATGTTAGACCAATCTTCAAGTTGCCACATTGCCTACCCCTTGTGAGTTGTGACCTATTATTGTTCCCCGGGAACAGTGGGAACATTTAAGAGAAACTATTGATGCGTATTAAAAAAATAAATGAAGTAATAATCAGTATGACAACAAGCATAAAAGAAACTATGGAAGCCATAATTCTATGAATGCCTCTAATGATCTGACCTTGTCAACCCATAGCTCGTGTATCTTCTGGGTATCTTTTTTTTCTTGTATTTCTTTCTTCATTTTCTTTTATTGCATTCTTAGAATGTAAATTAGTTTTTTGGCTGAATTGTACCCAAAGTAGATACTTGTAGTGAAATGAATAATAAGATCTTTAGGGATTGGTGATACTCATATATAGTTATATTGTCCTACTTGCCTTCTAGATTGTGTAGATGCCAGTGTTTAATGGTTTTAGTATCAAACCTTTAGGCTCTATTTGGATGGAGGGTTTTAAGAGAAGGTCTTAATCAGTATCTTGATAAATAGAATGTTTATGAATTACAAAAGAAGTGATTGAAATGTTATATTGATCCCAACCAAATATTATATTATTCTGTCAATTTTATAAAATCTCATCTATATGTAAAGATGTAGACTAAGCTCTGTAAATCCGTTTCTTTAACCCCACCAAACCCTCCATCCAAATAGAGCCTTAGTGATGTTGACGGTTGAAATAATAGTAGCTAAGTTTGACAGAATTAGAAGGTTCCAGTAATGATTGTGGAGGAATGGTGTGATCGAATCCCACTATAATTCATAAGCTCCCTAAACACATGTGCTCGAATCCCACATTACTTCATCCTTTTTATGAAGGCCTACCATATGCGACAGCTATTTTAAGTTTGTAGCACAACAGACAGTTTTTCAGAAATTTCCATATCAAAATATCAAAATTTGCATTGTATTAGTCATTCAGTTGATTGGTTTTTAACTATTTTCTCCCATTTCTTTGTTGTTTTTGCACGCGTTTTCTTTCAATTTGAAACCGTTTTCTTTCCCTCTGCCCCTATGTTCTTAATCCATGTGGAAAATTGCAAGATTAGGTGTTTACTCATTCAGTTTGAACTTTTACATGTGGAAATGTGCAAATTAAAACAAAATCAGTTCATGGAAAGGAATATGGTTTTGGAGCACATGACTTCCCATTCAGCGGAGTGTTTGAAGTAGAGCCTAAGAGGTGTCCTGGTTTTATGTACAGATGTTCCATCCCACTTGGCTCTGTTAATAATTTGCCTCTCTCTCAATTCCGAACTTTCATAGAAAGTGTGGCTTCTGAGTATCATGGGGATACTTACCATCTCATCTACAAGAACTGCAACCATTTCACTGATGATATAGCTAACAGACTCTTAGGGAAAGGGATTCCTGGATGGGTCAATCGGCTCGCAAGCCTTGGTAATCATATCCATCTCTTCATTCTCTCTGAATACCCCCCCCCCCCCCCCCCCCCCATTTCATCTAGGCATGGATACCTGTCTAGGAAAAAATAATAAATTGTGTCCTAATTGGGAGTTGGATGGTTCTAAGTGGAATTCTGTGGGGTCTATTTGAGATAGGACCCCTAGGCGTCCCATGAGAGCCTAATACAGTGATGTCCATCGTGCTTACCTAATACTCCGTACATTTCAATTTCACTGTGATTTTATGGAAAAAAACCTAAAAACGATATTTTACCCATCAATAAAAATCCCCATTGGGTCTGAAATTTTCAAACACCCTATTTAGTCCCTAAAGGCCTAAACTAATTAAAATAATTGAGTAAAAAGACCTTGAGCTTTAACAACATCATTATCAACTTCGGTCATACATATCCAGGTGGCAGAACACCAACAGAATTAAGGACATGAAGAGAGCTATAAGCGATGATGATAAGATCACTTGCAACGACAAATCACATTATGAATTCAAAAAATTCAGTCAAATTTGTATCTTAAGCTTGAATGTGCACTTTGTTTATTTGAATTTGCATCTGGTTTCATCAGCCTTCATCTTATTTTCAAAAATGTAACTGCATTTGTGTGCATATTAAAAGTCTAACAGGATTTTAGTTGAGTGTGAAAACCTCTATTTGAAGATTTAAATTTTTGACTCATTATCAAGTCACTTTAGTTACCTCATGGTTTAAATGAGACATTTGAAGAGTTTTCGGTCAATTGAGGTTTTATGTTGACAGTAGTGATCCTTTCACCACTGCAAATGCAACCTCATATGGGTCCCGAGTAGAACACATCATGTTTTATTACCAAACGGGGTTCTTATGTTTGGTTTTTTTGGGGGGGAGAGGATGATAGGATAGGGAAAGTACCCCCTCATCTCATGTGGTTAAAGAAAAGGAGTGGGAGGTGTTTAAATTTACCCTTCCCCCTTCGTTATTTATGTACCCCCTCATCTGTGTCATTTTGGGTATTTAACCGTGATATTTTTGCAATTTGAAACTGTTTAAATGACAGGTTCTTTTTGCAATTGTCTTCTTCCTGAAAGCTATCAAGTAACAACAGTTAAACAGCTCCCAGAGTACCATATATATACAGGTTATCTATCTTTGTATCATTATTCATTGCGATGTGCGGATCATATGTTATCTTTAGATGAAATTAGTTTTCTGTTAATAAAAATATAACACCAGATGAAGAAGGAAGTGGCTCTCAATCTACTCTTACGCCCCATGAGCGAGCAGATTGTGATGACAGAGATCAAGATAAGCACTTGTTGTCACCATCGGGCGGTGGTTGTGGGGTGGCTTTCGTGAAGGAGGTTCCAAGGTAACACATTTGGGCAAAATCAGAATTTGTTGAGAGAATCAATACTTTCTACAGTTTGTGTACTGGCCAAAGGTGTATTGAGCAAGTCATTGGTAGCAGAGTTGTCAATCCTTTTCTTGGGGGTGGGGGTTGTGTGTGTACCGTTATTATTATTTGTTGAATATGCTCACTTTCTGTAAGGAAAGGTGAAATTGAGTTCAGCAAAATCAAAAGTTGCTTATTCTGTTGATAAGCAGAAAGACTTGTTTGGGATTCGCTGTTGCTGTTGGGGAAAAAGAAAACCTCATTGTAAAAGCATTAATGAAAAGTACTGTAAAGAATTGGGGTTAGAGAATGATTTTGAGGATTGTAAATTAGAGGTTGAGAAGTCCCTAGTACAATAAAATATTTCTAAAAAGGAAAGTTGACGTCTCCGACTTAATCACGAGGTCAATACAAGGTGTTTGTATGTGTTTTGCCTAACCTGTCATGCGTTCCATTATCGTCATTGTCATGTGGTCATGCCGCACCTCTGTAGGAGTGTAGGCATACTATTGAGGAAATTCAGCTCAGAAGAATGCCCTCATAGAGATTTAATGGTACATGACTTGTTTCGGGTTGGTCCGGGTTCACGTTCTAAGTCGAGTAATATTAAGGGAAGAGGTGAGTCTCGGCATTGATTCGGGTCGGTTCGGGTTCTGGGCTGAGACTGCCCGGTCCTTGCCAAATGGTAGTGAAGCCCGGCCTTGACTTGCTTGTTTAGGTTTTCGGGCCGGTTCGAGATACCTTGTTGGTCCAGGTTCTGGGTCTGGTGAGGATCCTTTTTTTTTTAAATCACCGGTCCCGTTATTTTTTATTTTAGTTTTACTAGTCTGAAATAGGGCTGTAAACGAGTCGAGCCGAGCCCGAACACCCAAAGCTTGAGTTCGGCTCGATAAAGAATTAGTGGTGTTCAGGTTCGAGCTCGAAGCTCGATGAACTTTACAAACGAGGCTCGTGTTCGGTTCGTCAGGCGTTCGATGTTCGAACCGAGCGTTCGATAAGCTCGATAAGTATACTTGAATTTAAAATTTTAGGTGATGCTCGTTAATAGGCTCGTGCTCGAATGATTCGACAAGTATTCGATTTGTTAAAAATCATACTAATTATATTTAAATTTTCAAATATATATAAATTATATTTAAATTCGAGGTGTTCGATAGGCTCGAGTTCGAACCGAGCCAAATACTACTATGTTCGAGCTCGGTTCGATTAAGTTTTCGAACTTAAAACTCAGCTCATATTCGAGTTCGAAAGCTCGTTAAGCTCGGTTCGTTAGGTTCGAAACCGAGCTCGAACTCGAATAGTTCGATAAAAGCTCGGTTCGTTTACAGCCCTATACTCTGAAATCAAAGAAAAAAAATTGTTGTGCCCGGTTCGGTCCAAAAACAGGTAACCCGGGATCGGGTGCCCAACCCCAATGGGATAGGGCCTGTCCTTAGCCCGAAATTTACAAAATGGACCCGATCCGGGCCAAATAGTACAAATCCGGTTCTGGACCTTTTGGGCTTTTCAAATATGTTTTTAAAGATACCGTAGTACTCCCTCCGTCCCAATTTGTAAGATACATTACGGTTTACGATGTTTGACTGACGATACAACAAATTGATCTCTGTCAACACTCAAATTAGTTCTAGAAAATAAAATTTACATATTCAGAAACTACATTAAAACCGCTACAAAATCTACAAAAAATTATTCAAATTTCATAAACTTTTTATATAAAAACTAAAAGATTAAGTGTGATTTATGTTGACCAAGTGAATAGTAAATGTATCTTACAATTTGGGACTAAGGGAGTATCATTTATGCATGAATTATATATATGAAAAACTTATCATAGGAAAAGTGATCTATGTATTATGTATATACGTTGTACAATAAATTAAATGTTAAGCTTATACAAAACATAAAAGTATTTTAAACTATCGTGCTGATCCAGGATTTCTAGTCAAAGGGAGTGAAATTTTTTCATGTGTAGGGGATGAAAATTTTCACTAGTGTAGCGCGGAGAATTTTTTTCCACTAGTGTAGCAGGGTGATTTTTTTTTGCTAGTAGTATAGGGCTCTGCGACAATTTTTTATTCAATTTTTTTATTAATACATACACGACGACATTTAAAACTATTACATTTTAAGTTTTTTTATCATTAAAACATGCTTCCATTTATATCATAAGTTTCAGGATCATTACATCAACAAAGGAAAAATAAAACTGACATCAACTAAACTCCAACAACTACGATTGTAAACCCTATGATTAGACTTAGAGACGGTCACCCCTGAAAGAGCAACTGAATCACTAACCATGCAGTGGGCTTGACACAGTCATCCCTATTCCCATAGATCCAAACATATCCAATGACATAAAGAAAGACTAAATTCGCAAACAAACTGACAAAACCAACAACATAGTCGGTAGCAAAAAAACAAATGACAAAATAATAAATACTGGAAAAACTTTCACGGACTCTAGCACCTCGTACAACCCATGGTGGTGGTTCAGGAGGAGGCCGTACCACCGGTACCACGCTAATCGATCCTCCTTTGTCGAAAGAAATCTGACCTACACCAAGCCCGTGCAACTCTCCTTGTTCTGCACTCGTAGCTACATCACCCCTCGCGGCCATCTTCGTCGCTGCCTTGTCTTCCTTCTGGACTACCGCCTGACTGCCCACTGAAGTGGCCGCTTCCCGTCGCAGCACCGAAGCTCTTCCGAGCAACCAATCTCAGGTGTATTGCTCGATTGCGAGAGAAATCCTTTCTCCGCCGAGACCTCCACAACTGGGAAACAAAGCAACAAAAACCGAAGCTCTAGAGAACTCGAAACAATCCTGCTCTCAGTGCAAGACGGCCGATACCTTTTCTTCCTGGAGCAGTTTGTCTGCTTCTGGAGTTCTGGGAAGTTGGAAGTCGTCCGCTTCGTATAATCGTATTTCGTAAGTTTAATAATTAAGGAGTCTGGGGCTCTAGGCTTTATAGTTAATTAATTAAATTAGTTTCCTAAAATCTATTTTATTTCGCATCTGGGATTCTGGGTAATCTGGGCTTGCACTTTGCGGGCCAGTCCTGTTCGACTTGGGAAGAAGTTGCCGACTTGTCGCCTTCATCACGCCTGGACGACGCCTGGCAGTCTGGCACGCGTTTTCTTCTGGCGAGTAACTCTGGTGAACTGTCCCTAGCGGGCCTAGCACCAGGACACCTAGTCGGCGACTAGGCAACGCCATGACAAGCCTGTTGCAGCCTAGCTTGGTTGGGGGTTGTTTAGCATAGCGAGCAATTATAAGTGTCCCACTATGTGCCGCTTATACCGGCAGCACAAAATGGGCATTTACATCTTGAGAGCCTACAAAAGGAACTAGAGGTTCTTTTCCTTGTACAATTGGTACTACGTATATGCTTTTCTACCATACTGAAACTCTGCCAAAATTACTACTCAATAAAGACATAGATTTTGGCCCTCAATTAATTATTACACGAGTTTTTGTCGTAGTCTTTGAAGGGTCTGCCAAAGTCTGATTTTGGATCAACAGTAACAAATATGTCCACAAGTCCACAAGGCACCTTAAAGGACTCCCTACGGCTCTGCATCATGGCAAACCCAGGTAGTTACTTCGAGTATTAGCTGAATAGAGTTTTGTAGTGGATGAAGTATCTCAGATAATTTGAAGTACACAAACAAATGAAACCTATAGAGGTTATATATCATAGCCACCAAAAGAAACTCAGCAATGATGGTCCCAACATTAGAATTTTAATGTATTTGGAAAGTGGATTTCACATGCATGGATTATGCGACTACACTGGTTTCCTATGGTCATGATCAACTCACATGCAAACTTAATTTAGAATCGTCTCCGTTTTTTCTTGGGAAGCAAGCAACCGCTAGGTAGGTTTTAGCCTCTCCAAGTGGTGTTCCGATACGATGAGTTGTCACGCAGAGAAGCATCATGAGCTTTGTATTTAATCTCATATGCGCTGGGCAGCTTCAAGTGTCGTTTGATTGACTCTCTTATTGCTGCTACAGCCTGTGGATAAATACCAAGCCATGTCTTGAGTCTGATCATATTAAGAAATTTGGGATGTGGGGGAGTAGGTGTGGGTTTTTAAGTAAATATATGTAAATGACTGAAAAGTGAAGAGAAAATAGACCTGCTGGTCTGATGCATTGCGGTTCCACACACTCAAAATATCTTCATTGAAGCGAATGCTTAAGACTGCGCCACAAATGTTGTCACTGTGATCAAGTTGATCACCAACCAATGCCAGAACCTTCAAGGAATTCCAAAGCTAGTGTTACAAACTACTAACAAATTCACAAGAAAATAATGTGTGCAGTTCATATACCCTATAAAAAAGAGAAAAACTAAATGTGATTATCTCTTACAAGGTCCTCCCAAAATCTCCCAGATACAGCCTTTTTAAATCGAATTGTCAATTTACCACCATTGAAATTGGCTGCATCCTACACAAATATAATATGTATAATCAACAAAAGAGAAATGTGATTGATGCACTTTTAAAAGAAAATTCAGGGGCCATTGAAAGTAATGAGTTCAACTAAGGGTTACCTCCCACAAAGGGCGAATTCCCTCTTTGAAAAGATGCAAATCAGTAGGGCTGGGCAGTGTTGATGGACGAGCCAAATGGCAGTAGCAGACCCAAAATCCTTCAACCTATCGGGCAAAACAAAATAGCAAAACAATAAATCTGTAGACATGAATAAGGGAGCTGAACGTTAAACCATTTGTTTCTCTAAAGATTTTTGCTACTAAAGTGTGATGCCCTATTGGTTCACCAGAAGAGTCTTAGACTACATAACATAATCAGTCAAAATAAATAAATTAAATAATTAACTTACTGTACTGAAATCCATTATTTTTTTTATGTTATCCTCATATGATTGCGTCCGAACGCCTGGCGTCCGGCGAGTGTACCAGAATACATATTTGTGCTGTAAAAACAAAAAGCAGAATGAGTAAGGACAAGCATGAAGGAAATGCAATGACAACAAACAAATGAAATGGGAAAACTCTAAGCAAATAAGGGATCGTCCTTCTTTCCCAAACACAGCACAAACTGCAGTGCATTCACTGCTCATAATCACATTGAGCTATCCACTACAGGCCTACAGCTCAAAGTACAAGAAGGCTGTCAGAATTTTCTATAAGCATGAACATTAGTCCATCTTGAATCCAATATTCCATGACTCTGACAACATAATTGATGGAGTATATGGCCCAGGGACCCCCGGCCCACATACTTCCTCTACTACAATCAGGCCCAACAGGCCCAAACGGGCCAAGCCCAGCAAAATGGAGCTCTGAGCAGCCCACAATACGCAAAGGGGTGCCTTCGGCCCTATGGCCGAAGGCTACCAGTGACGGAATCGAGCTCAGAAACATCACAGGAGAACAAGGCTTGAAAACCAAGCCTTCGGCAACTGCAGCCCTCGGCAGGTAGGAGCCCTCGGTTAGAAGAGGCATCACAGGAGAACAAGGCTTGAAAACCAAGCCTTCGGCACCTGCAGCCCTCGGCAGGTAGGAGCCCTCGGTTAGAAGAGCCTTCGGCCCCGCACCCTTCAGCCGAAGGCATCCACCTCGACAGAATATCCTCTTCACATGCGCCTGGATCACCGTACCAAGTACAAACGTCACATCCAACCACCGCATTTAATGCGGCCACATGCGAGTGCCAGTGCCACCCCGGTCGAGGTGACCCCTCGACCACCAGAAAACTGACACGTGTCTTTATCTAGCATTTATTACTACTATAAATAGCACCCCTTTCCCCCATTGTAAAACACGCTTAATACATATCGAATATACACTCTCTCTCTTACTTATTTGCTCTGACTTCTCTCTAGTTATTCTCCGCAATAACCCCTCGGATAAGCTACCCCTCGGGTACACTATACATCAATAATGGTTATGAGCTTATTGCATATAAAGAACGATCAATAGTCCTGTATATATGCCAGGCTCTGTATAGAGTGCCCCATAGCTGTGTGTATCCACAACAGTTACACATTATCAAGAACACATCCCTTACCAAACCAAAACAGATACAAGGTACATTCCACTGAATAAACACATACACACTAAAAAAAAGTTAGCTTTAGCCCTAATAAGCGGTCGCAAATCACATTACACTACTCCAAACAGTTCGGAGTTGTGAGGACATGACTTCAAGCCAACCCAACAATTCCCCCGCAGTATTTAAAATAAATAGAAGGCGAGTAACAATTTATGGGAACCAAAAACGAAAACTTCCAAAAGAAAGCATCAAGCCTAGAAGATTAGAGGAGGATCGAAGTGAATAAGATGATGACCTTTAGGGGATGAAGGCCGGCTTTGAGATCTTGGTCGATGCGGTCGCGGTCTTCGGCTTCTCTTTCCGTAAGCGAGGTCGGCGGCTGAGCGAATTCGTTTTTGTTGAAGGTTTCTTTCTTGTCAGCGATGGATTCTTCCATTTGGCTACCTCAGTCGTAGACTTGAAAGCCCTAGATGTTGCTTATCGGTCAGTGGATGATGTTAGGAAAGGGCAAAGCGACGAAGACGAATTGGAGATGGACCTGACCGGGGCCGGTTTAAGCGGGCTTTTTTCCAAGATGTTGGACCCAGAACCGGTCCGGGTTGATATCGGGTCCAGACCCGGTTCAATGTAATTTTTTGTGGTAATTACCTGGATGAGCCATTTCGCCCATCATATTTCTTTTATGGCACCAAAATTTTTTCTTTTCAATTATAACTTTCATATTTTCACTTACAACTTTTTATTTCAAAAATAACCTAAATCCTAAATCACTGCCCCAGCCCAGAATAATGATCGTCGATGACTAGCAGTGCGGCTCCTCACTCTTCCTCCATCCTAATGATCTCGCTTTGGCTCTCCGATCTCTGCCCTCGCTTTGGCTCTTCGGTCTTCGTCTTCCGCCTTCTGCTCTCCGGCTCCGCCCTTCGGCCTCCGCCCTCCGCCCTCCGCCCTGCTTGTTTTGCTGCTCCGGTGTGTATTTGATCACTATATCTTCAATTTGACTTGGATTTATTGCGTTGTTTATAGTTTTTTGCGTTTAGATCTAGAACACAGATTCGTGTTTGCAGTACTGTTCATGTGCGATGGAATCTAGTATTTAATCCTAATGTAAGTTCAATTATCATGTATTTCTTCTTAGATTTAACTTTATCTGATATTTTCAAATGTAGCTATAGCTTTTTTCACTTCACTACACCTTTTGTTTAATTATGTAAATTAGACCGATTTTTTCTCTGTCTCTTGCATGTTGAAAATTGAGGTTCAGAAACCTACCACAAATAGAAGATCAGCTTCTTTTGATACGTTTAATCTGCTTCCTTTGTTGCATTGTTCTTCTTCATTTGAAAGTAGTCTATTCTGACTTTACAAGTATTTAAGATGCTCACAGATTATTCTGGTATAAGTAAATTTAGATTGTGTATGATTGTGTTGCCAAAGATATAGGCTTGATTTTGATATTGACATCAATGTCAATGATTTGGATGTTTTTTCTGCTTCTGCTATATAGGTTTATTGGTTTGTTGTAATAAGTTATTCAATTCAGTATTTGTGTCATAGTGATTGCATTCCCTATTACAGGCACGCAATAAAAACGTACATGCAAATGTAAGGATGAGAAAGTTTGACAAGGAAAAATGAAGACAAAGTGGACAAATCTGATAAATTGTGTGAGCAACATAAAAGGAATAAGAAGTGAGGAGAATCAAAAGCCATAGATGTCATAGATAAATGTAATGAATTGTAATAATAGATTGAATTATACATATTTTGTGATAATTTTATATGTTACTTTTTGTTTCTCTTTGTTGCATCGGTTGTGTTGCTTTTTGTTGCATCTTGTTACATTTTGATGCACCGTGTTGCATTTTGTTGTATCGTGTTGCTTATTGTTCTTTGTGATATGTTGGATGTTTTTTCTACTTCTGTTATATAGGTTTATTGGTTTGTTGTAATGATTTATTCAATTCGGTATTTGTGTCATAGTAGTGATTGCATTCCCTATTGCAGGCACGCAATAAAAACGTACATGCAAATGTAAGGATGAGAAAGTTTGATAAGGCGAAATGATGACAAAGTGGACAAATCTGATAAATTGTGTGAGCAACATAAAAGGAATAAGAAGTGAGGAGAATCAAAAGCCATAGATGTCGTAAATAAATGTAATGAATTGTAATAATAGATTGAACTATACATATTTTGTGATAATTTTATATGTTGCTTTTTGTTTCTCTTTGTTGCATCAGGCGTGTTGCTTTTTGTTGCATCTTGTTACATTTTGTTGCACCGTGTTGCATTTTGTTGTATCGTAATGCTTATTGTTCTTTATTATTGATTTTCATTTTTTTACTATGTACATTGACATTATATTCGTTAGTGATTTGGAGTAAAAAACATATTTAGCTATATACATGAACACCTGAAATCATAAAATTGGATTTATGAATAAACAAAAAAATATATGAAGAAACAATAAAAAACAAAAATAATTAAAGTAATCAACAAATAGAAAACACAAAGAAACAACATGCAACAAAAGTAACAATTAAGTGATAATAATATAATAAAAATATTTTATGTGTTCATGGTTTTTAGATTTTACATGCCTTTTAATTGAATCTAGTTTTCTGTTTTTTTGTTCAAGGAATCTTATTTTCTATTTTTGTTTTCTTTTTTTACACTAATTTTGAAATTTATAGGCGTGTTCAAACTATATGTATTAATTTGATATTTTAATGTTTTTTAAACCTCAGAATTCATATTCTTTAATTTTTGTTACAATTGTTTTAGTTTAAACGAATTTATGCATTTTTTATCTTAAAATTTTCAAATTCGTATTTTTGAGAGGTTTAAAAGAAAACCAGTTAACACTTTCTTTTTAGTTTTTTGAAGTTTTCTGATAATTCCTTCATTTTTTATTTTAATTTTCATTCTATCCTTCATACATAATTTTATGATTTTTTATTTCTTTTTTAGAATAATTTTAGTATTTTTATTTTTAGACTTTTGATTCTTTTTTAAAAAATTTAATTTTTTCATATTCTGAATTTTTTGAAAAATATTTTATTTATTTTATTTTTATACTGTATACTTTTAAGATTAAATTTGGAGATAACACGTTTGCTTATTAACGTGGCATGAGATCTTCCAAAAAAACGTGACATGAGTGCACTTTCCTTTTAGCAACCAAACTGCACTTTTAAAAAGTAAAGATGCGAACAACTAGAGCTCACCATAGGAAGTTGATGGAGTATATGGCTCGGGAACCCCCGGCCCACAGACTCCTACTACTCCAATGAAGGCCCAACAGGCCCAGAAAGCACCACAGGCCCAAATCACAGCGCCCAGAGTACCAAGCAGCCCACGATGCGCACCAGGGGTGCCTTCGCCCCCCTGGCCGAAGGCTCTAAATCTCACAAGAGGGTCAAAACAGGAAAACGAGGTTACTGGGAAGAAAGGCGAAAATCAGTAGCCCTCGGCAACTGGAGCCCTCGGCACTAAGGGGGTCCCCGGTACTCAGAGCCCTCGGCTAGTCATCTACAGGCGAGGGCACCTTTTCCGACATAATATCCGCTCCACATGCGTATGGATCACTGTACCCAGTACAACGTTCCATCCAACAGTCGCATTAAATGCGGCCACATGCGGTTGTCAGCGCCAATCAGTTGAGGTGACCTCTCGGCCAATGGACGCTTGACACGTGTCCCTGTCTGGCATTTATTACTACTATAAATAGCACCTCATTTCCCCATTTGTAACCAAGTCACAAGTCACAAGTCACAAGACGCAACACTCTGAAAATACTGAATACTTTCTAATATACTTTCTCTCTCTATACTCATTTGCTCTGACTTCTCTCTAGTTATTCCCCGTAATAGCCTCTCGGATAAGCTCCCCCGGGTACACTATCCATCAGAAGTCTATTAATGAAAGGAAACTTTACTTGGTCTATTTTTGAAAACAACTTTCAAAAGTGGGAAAAAGTGATATTATTTTCAATTTTAGCCTATATGTGATAATTTCCCGATTTTTTTTGGAAAAATTGAAAATAATAATCCCAAGTTTCCAACTATTGCCGGTCCGCTAAAAATAATTCAACTATTGATTAATTTTGTATAATCCCAACTATATGGACCATCCGCCAATAATGGTCCATGTCCGCATATTACCTGCTCTAACAAGTGAATTTTTAATAGAAATTAAGCGTAAAAATTAAAATTTGGGATGCGGATTATTTATTGGGATTACCTGTTATATCTCTTTAGAAACTATAGGAATTTATTTATAGTCGGTCACGTCGGACCATTATTGGCGGAAGGTCCCTAAAGTTGGGATTATTTTGAAATAATCGATAGTTGGGATTATTATGAGCGGACCACCAATAGTTGGGATTATTATAATCAATTTTTCCATTTTTTTGACTTTGTAATTAACCCCCGACCCCCTCCTTCACCCCCACCCCCCAAAACACCCAGCCCTACCGAAAAGAAAAAAAAATGAAAAACAAAAAAAAATGAACCGGGCCCGGCCCAGGCCGCCCGGGCCGTTTCATGAAAAATAGGGCCCGGGGCGGCCCGCCCAAACCGTCCAAACCGGGCTAAAGCCCGGAACCGTCCATCCCCAACCGGGCCAGGCCGGTTCCCGGTTTGGGCCGAACCGGTTTGGGCCACCCCTAATCCAACCGAAGCTCCCACGAACAGTGAATAATTTTTATAATATAATGAATTTTATTATTGAACATAGGTTTAATAAAAATAGAGTTTAATGTACCATATTCGCAATATATAAATTCAACGCATTAACAATTGTAATACTCAAAATACATCAAATTCTATATCCGCAAAACTCTTTCAAAAAAATTAACAATGTGAAAATGGAATGACTTGAGTTTGCACCCCATTTTATTGCACTCCAACCTCGTACGAAAAGACAAAAATGTCACTTCACTAACAATTTTGTTGTCCTTCAACATATACCTGATTGAGGGACATTTTTGACTTTTCAAACAGGGTTGGGTGCAAAAACAAAGATTTTTAAAAATATGATGCAAAGTCCAATTTGGACAATAATATGGGATGCAAACTCAAATTACCTCTTTGAAAATCACTTGTCTTAATATTATGATTGCAAATGCAAGTAAATTTGTCAATTTTTAAAATTATGCAAAAATATTAATCATTTTTCTTTTATATGGCAATTGTTTTTGTTCACTGAGGGGCTTTTGTGCATGAATAAATATAACATAAGAGGATTTGACGCATTATTTAAATCAAATAAGACTCCTGTGTAGAATTTATATATCATGAGAGATTTGTTGCATTAAACCAATAAAAATAGAATGAGTTTAGATGAACAGGGCTAGCGGGTAGATATATAAAATTATTGTTTGGACAATTATTAGGTTATTGATCAGAAGCTATCATTCATACATAGCTTAGAAGTTATCAAAAGGCAGAAGGGTCTACGAGAGTGTTGGGTTAATGGCCCAACAGGGGTTGACCCATCAACCCCAAGGCCCACTAGACGAACGTTCCCCAAGTCCAAGGCCAATTGGGGTGGTTTTTCCCCAACAGCGGCGAGGTTCGTCCCCAGAATACCAACCTACATCATACAGACCGTCAACGCCCAAGGGGCATCTGCCAGGGGACGCATGTATCCGAATATAGCCTGGTAGTCTGGTACCTTGGCCCAAGAAACAATGCAAGACGCTCGAGATCTAGAACTTAGGGCCAAGCAGAACAAAGGAGGCAAGCTCATGGGGACGCTCATCCCACCCCTTCACGGGAAACCAAGATTCTGGCGAGAAACCAATAGAATGTCAAGTGTTCTCCAACGCTTAGCAACTAGTTTTGGTGGTTTGTCTACTAAGTTAAAAAACGGGAAAAGGGGCAAATAAGCCCTCGAACTAACCGAAAAAATGCAAATCATCCATTTTATGAGGCTCTGTCTGGCCGTCCCCATTTGAGGCGATTCTCGATGGAATTTTTTGATGGATTTTTTTGAGCATCTTCTTCATTAAGTCTAGTTTACCCATACCAAATTTCATCTAAAAATTCAATCGTGAAGTCAGTCAAATAAATGTTTGAAGATAACTGCACAGTTAAACAGCGCAATATATTTCAGAAAATCATTTGACTGCTTTCCCGATTGAATTTTTACCTGAAATTTGGTATGAGTAAACTAGACTTAATAAAGAAGATGCTAAAAAAATTCATTAAAAAAATCCAACATAACTACCCCAAAATCCCAAATGACGACGACCAGACAGAGTCTCCTATAAAAGGGTTGATTTGCTCTTTTTCGGTTAGTTCGAGGGCTTATTTGCACCTTTTACCAAAAAACTCAGGATACACGTCCACAAGCAATCAGCAAAAAGCAGTGGAAAAGGTAAATATGCGATCTTTGAGGGAAAATCGTTCAATACAAAAAAAACGAGGAAAGAAGAAAGAAGCAATATTCGTAGTACTTTTTAGACAATGCATATTTAACAAACTAGATATAAAGGGAAAAAATAAGTCAAAAGTTGCGATATATCTAGAAGTGAGGCAAAAAAGACGGAACACATCTTCACTCTTCAAACCACAATGCCACTGCAGTGCAGCTGTTATAACTCAATAAGTGAACCACAACGGTTTATACTTTATAGCCGGCTTGATGGTACATCGAAAGAAATCCAACACGCTCTCATTGGATTGCAGTTTGTCTTTCACTTGCATCATCAAGTTCAACCTAAACGGGAAAGAGGAAGAACAGCAGATAAGAGGACTGCACTTCACAACAAAACAGGGTTGCATTAATATGTGTCTTACCTCAACAAGCACTTTGGTTTTCTTCTTAGAATATGCACTTAGGTTGTCTCTCCTATGCTTTTTTGAACCCAAGCCAGGCTTCTTAATCCTTTCATGAAATGTAACGGCCTCCTCTTCATCATCGTCCAATCCAGCTACCAAATCAACCACATGCAAGTTTAATTAGAATATGAAGACGATACACACTAAAGAGCATAGCATAGTCAACATTCCTAAATGAATATTGTAGGTTGATAAGCATAAGCTTCATCCCAATGTAGCAATAAGTTAGCCACGAGCAATGTTACAAAAAGAGCCCTAGCGTGCAGGCAGGGGCCCAGCACCAATTCAGGGATTAATCAGAGTTAAGGAGATCTAAGTGTGATCAGAAAAGAACTAAATGGGGAAAAAATAGGTTTCAAATAAGAGACTTGTATCTTGGCAGATATTAATAGAGTTCAGGCAGAGGTTCTAATAACAATGAGTTTAGGCTATAGGAGCTAAAATCTAGCATGCAAACACTTTAGATTTTCGTCTGGCAAATAACTCAGTTTTTGTTCAAACATGAATTATTGCATTTTCATCTATGTCTACAAAAGCAGATGACATAATTGTATGGGCAAGCATTCTTCAGGCAAAATTACATCATTAGGCATTCAATTGTTCTACCTTCATCAACTCCTGCATCCGGATCTTCAATTGCCCTACCACCAAGGTCTTCAATATCATCCACCTCTTCAAGGTCTTCATAACCTTCAACATACTCTACCTCATACTCCTGAATAAACAAATGATTCCCAAAAAAGAGAAATGTGACAAATCAAATAGTGAAATGTGACACTATAAAAGCTCTTCTTTTGAGGGGCAGGTCAGGGCGGGACAGGGAGGTGAAAATCAAATCATGAAAGGTGAAATGAATGATTGATATGATTAGATGTGTAGGCGTGTTAGAATGACCTTTTCGTCCTCTTTTTCGGCAATACTTTCTCTATCTAGAATTTCATTGTACTTCGCAACCGGGATAATGTTGACTATATCGCCAGAATAAACTCCTCTATTTAATCGTTCAAGCAGTTCCTTTTCTATGCTCTGCAGATCAGTTAATGACATTAGCAAAGGAATAAACTGAAGGCAATGAAACCAAAAAAAACTACAAAAACTGAAACCTTTTCCAGCAAAGCTGCTTTTTCAGCCTTTTGTTCCCTACGAGCTTCTCTTTTCATCTCTTTTCTAGGTGTGGTCATTATCTTCTCTCTAGTGACAAAAAGCCAAGTACACGCATGTCAGTGATAGTATTATCCCATTATGAAAAAAAAACTAGACCCTCTTGCTAGAAAGGGAATCCTAATATAATTTTAACAAAGAGGAAAGTTTTTATTGATGGCAAAAAGGAAACGAAATACACAAGAACAAATGGGAGCTACAGAATTACAGATACCCTCCAGTTAAGATAAAATGCCCCGTAGAACAATTCCACACAATATCCATACTATTCCTAATCAAAATCACAATCCGCCTTTCATCTAAGCAGGATTTTATAGTCTTAAAACTCAAAATAAAGAAGGTAAGTAATAAACTAAACATCAATCAAGTACGACGACGTAAATCGATTCTTTTATAGCTCTGATTTATATGTTGATTCATGTTAGCCGATCCCAAACTCTTTGGGGACTAGGGCTTGGATGTTGTTATTGCTGTACTAAGACATAGAACCATAATCAGTGATAACTTTCCTTCATTTCTACATCATGTGAATCAGTAACCCAGCATGAAGCAGAATACTCTGTGGTTGAATGCCACTGAAAATTTTCTTGTCAATCACAAATACACATTGAGAAAAGATTTTTATTGAAGAAAATAGCACACCTGAGATGAAAGAAGAACAGGATTACACATAGCACCTTTTTCTAGTTCTTGTTCATTTCTCTTGTGATTAAAATGACTTCACTTAGTCAAAACGGTATATGCATCTGTTAGAACTCTGCAATTCACACACAATCACAGAATCTACAAAGAACTCAATCGCAACTTTATTCACGTAGGCAACAATGAGCCGAAGCCCCCAAAAGATAGAATACAGCTCCTATCTTCCCAGAAATGACAATAGTCAGAAACAGCCTACTCTTTATTGCCCACTCCCCTTCTATTTATACTACTCTATCTATTACATTTCTTATTTACTCTTATTCTACTGGGTCCCTAACATATCTCCCACCCTAAACATCCACCTTGCCCTCAAGGTGGGCGATAGGAAGCAGCCAAGATCTTCTGCTTCCTCTTCATCCTTGCGCCTCTCCCTTCCCAATACTTGACTGGTTGATGGACTAGGGACTTTCGTACGAGATCTTTTAAGATCTCAGAACTTTCAGTAGCAGAAGAAATCAGCGGTGAAGATTCATTCAATTCAGTCTCTTTCCAGCACTTGATAGTAAAAAATATTTCTTCACTTTTCTGCAGCTCCTCATATTTTCCAGTCTCTGAAACTAATACTGTATTGGATGCAAACTCCTTTACGTGCCTTTCAACTTCTTCCTCTTTTAATTCTTTACTTACCTCATTTGACAAGCAAGTAATGAGATGCATAATTCCAGCTGCAGTTCTCATAACTAAAGAACATGAAAGCTCATCTCCCATGTAAAAGTTCCAAAATTGGTTTTCTTGCACGTAGACAGATCTATCACCATTATACGACATGGCCATTTTCCAACCCTGATCTAATTTCACCTTTTCATTTGCTTCATTATGTTGTTCCACAAAATTTTCCACTGTTTTCTCATTTAAAGAATCTGAAATTCTGAGTGCTCATGTTAAAAAACCAACCCACAATTTGGTAGAGGAATCAAGGGTACTTGGATCCCTTCCCTTCAGATTCACAAGAACAAAGGAAACAACTGGGGAATAGTATTGATGATCCCTTGAATTATAATGGTTAGAAAGTCCCTCTTCAATTTTGGGTTTCAAAATTGCTTGAAACATGGTGATAAGATGCTTCTCAGCAATCAATTTCTGATTAGGTACTGCTATTTCAGCCCCTTTGTCAGCAATAGCAAGCCTTCCTCTGCTCACACCCTCCCTCCAATTTAGAGGACCTCCATGTGAAATCACTACCCCAATTTGAATAATGGCATATGATTCCCAAAAAAAAAAGATGAACCCGATCCTTAAGAACCACTGGACCAGATCTCTTTCGTTCCAGGCATGAATTCCCTTAAATTATGTCCTCGATTTTAAGTAACCCAGTTTCAGAAGTTCCCAATGGACATGGTTGGAGAACCAAATCAACAATAGAAACGATGTTCAATCCTTCCAACACAATGTTTGATGACTGGCGATACATCATATCAGTCTTGCAGACATTTGGCCAGTTCCTCTTCTGTGCAAGATAAGAAGAAATATCGCATACCTGAAGAAGCTTGAACCTATTGGTTTCAAGGTCTGACTGGTCAAGATCGTATTTGGAAAACATCTTACTTCTGGAAAATCCAACAACTGTTCCATCTTCAGGTTCAAGATTAACTGATGGTTTATCACTAAATTCCTCTTCTCCATAGGTGTGCTGCTGAATAACCAAATTCTGCTGCGACTCTCGAAATTCAAATAAAGATTTCGAACTGGACTTGTCTGCTCTAGTCAAAACCAGAGGACCGGAAGAAGTATCTTGTGACTGAGAAGGGTATTTGCTTTTCGAATTCAAGCAGCGACGCACAGTCCTTGACCGTCCTCGCCTACAACATTTTTGTCGCAGCTTGGGCTTCCCCTTCTCCAGGTTTGAGGACTTCTCTTTCTCTGGTTTTGAGCTCTTCTCCTTCTCCATGTTTGAGCGCTTTTCCTTTTCTAGGATTGAGCGCTTCTCTTTCTCCACTTTTCCGCTCTCAACCTTTTCTGCAAGCTTCCCCAATTTTCGTCGCCAATCCTTTCTCGAGTGCGAAACAGTTTGCGATTCCTCCAATCCTGTCCTTCTTTCCTTCGCCCCATCCCTTTCTACCTTTTCTTTGCTCTTCGTATGCTTCTCCTTCGCTAGTTTTCCGCGCTCCACCTTTTCCGCGATCTTCTCCATTTTTTCGCGTGAAACCTTTGGCGACTGCGAATCAGAAGGGACATTTCGCGCTCGGTCTCTAGTTCGCCTGCGCGGTTGATGACCGGTCTTGTTTATTTTACTCCACATCTCCGCAACCCAATCATCGAAGGCTTGTTGATTTTGTTCGATCTTTTCTTGGTTCTTCTTCATCTGCGACAGATTTCTTTTAGCGACAGATATTCCACACCAGCGATCGTAGCAGGCTCTGATACCGATGTTAGAACTCTGCAATTCACACACAATCACAGAATCTACAAAGAACTCAATCGCAACTTTATTCACGTAGGCAACAATGAGCCGAAGCCCCCAAAGATAGAATACAGCTCCTATCTTCCCAGAAATGACAATAGTCAGAAACAGCCTACTCTTTATTGCCCACTCCCCTTCTATTTATACTACTCTATCTATTACATTTCTTATTTACTCTTATTCTACCGGGTCCCTAACAGCATCCCATGGGTAAACATAGAAAAAAATCATAAATACCAAATGTGGTATAGGAACAAACACTTCTATGAACATCTCTAAAGGAAAATGATAAAAAATTAAGACAAGTATAAATGACGCCCAGTACTAGTACTAGATACTGAAGTCTCCTAACCACTAACAAAAACAGAACAACACCAAAAATAAAACATAGAAGGGAAAAGAGACGACTTTATTTAAGAAGTAAAGCATTCAGAAGTCTAACTTTTAGTAACAACTTGAAGAATCGTGCAGAAATGAATCCTACAGATAAAAACATATTACTCGCACATTTACAGAGACATTACAGGCTCCTTACCGAGTTTTTAAAGCAATCTTCCTCATCCGTATTCTCATCTGAGTCATTTTAGTTAGTCTTTGTTTTATCTTGTGAAGAAGAAGTTTTGGCCAATAAACCTGTTGAGGAAAGAAAAAATATTTGTAAGGAGAAAATATTTGTAATAAATAAATGTGTTGAACCTAATAACAGCAAATCACATGTCTGATTTCAGTTTAAAACCAGCACCCATGATCATAAGTCCAATTACCAAATGTTTATCAATCACTTCAAGGGCCTTCATATAATTCCTGGGCAGCTTGACCCTTTCCCATAACTTGTTTGGCATGTGAGCCCTCTCTATAGTTTTCATGTACAAATAGAACACGCCTGAGAACAAGATAGAGAGAGGGAAGACCATTAATTGTAAGATTTTGCAACAATGAAATTATAAAAAGAAAGACAGAAAAATCCATTCCTCTCTGACAAATAGAAAATCAAATATGACACTTGGCTATCACTCTCAACTATGTGCATTATAATATTGGACTTCCAAGATGATTTTTAAGTGTCACTACAATGAAACTTTGTACAATAAAGATAAGAAGATCAAATTCCCAATCAGCTGATGATTCGATTATCACTATACTCATTGATCAAAATAGTTTGTCTGTTGAGCCTTAGTGAGAATTTCAAAGACAGCACAGGGATTGACCAACCCATTGAAAAACAAACTTTTCCAAGAAAAACAAAATTTGGAGCACTAAATTAATTTAAATAACAATCTGCTCAAGTAACTTGATTCTCCGCGACAGTTAAGGCAAGATAGCTGATAAAGAAATATACTGAAGTAGCGGGACTCAGGTTTTCCTTACCATCATGTTCTCTTATTGTGGCATAGCGACTATTAGCTAGAGGACAGGAGGTGCGGTTACATAAACCTGTGACGTTATATGGATTCCGGCAAAGTATTCCTGTCTGAAGCCTAGAAAAATTGTTTTGGATGGAGATGCAACTCAGCAATTCAAGGAAAAGATTACTCAATCTACTAAAAGGAAAACAGAGAGAGAGAAATAGAAAAAATAGACTAACTTTGCCATGAAGCTGCAGTGCTTGTGTCTGATAACTTGCCATATGACCTCATCGTGCTGCATCCTTATCTATGATATTAACCCGAACGCCAATGCTGCAGAGAAATCGAGATTTGGAGATTATAAGTGCGGCTGGTTTCAGATTTTTCTATACGCAGTGTTGCTGCAAGCTACAGAGCATGAAATTCCTCGCAACTCAATATGATTAAGCGATAGATAACCTTATGCGAGCGTAAAAATATGCCAAACGACCTGAAACTCGAATGAAACTAAAAGAGAAAAAACATAAATATTGACTAGCATTTCATTAAATATGCAGTTTTTGTGTCCGATAACTTAGAATGTTTTTACTTGGACTATAATTTGCTGGTCTGGTCTGTTTAAATCTGGTCTGGTAAACGTTTAGTCTCTGTGTATTTTATAACTACGGAAGTCAAGTTCTGGTCTGATTTGTTTAAGTCTGGTCTGGGACTGAAAACAGTCCAAGTAAAAACATCCTTACAATTAACGGATTGTGACTTTCAAACCATAAACTTTTGAGTTTAGGGTTTTGACTTGGTAATTATGACAGCTGCAATTTTTTTAGGGTTTTAGGGGTGAGGAGTTGGGATGCTTGTGAGTAGGGTTGTAAACGAATCAAATCGAATAGTGAGTAATATTATTTATATTCGTATAACTTGACGAATATTAGTATTCGGATATTATTCGAATTATAAATTAGATCCGTATTCGATTTGTTACTCATATTCGAATATTTTTGTTTTGTTTTTGAATTTTCGAATTTGAATGTTTGAAGTGTCAAAAAAAATCACCTATTCAAATTATGATGTATTGTAAGTTTTTTTTTTTCAATTTTCACAAACCATTACCCCAATGCTGCATAGGCTCCCACCTATGGTGGGATAAGGGGGGATCGGATGTACGCAACCATACCCGTGTACTAAGAATGTTTTTACTTGGACCGCTTTCAATCCCAGACCAATTTAGACCAGACTTGGATAATAATAAAATACACAAAGACCAGACATTTACCGGACCAGACCGGTTCAGACAAGAAGATGGCAGATCAGAAATGAGTTTTTCAAAGCAATGTTACTTTTCAAATTTTTCAAATGAGTGGCAGATCAGAAATAGTCATATACTCCATTCCTCCATACTCAAATAGGTATTCCTCTTTGGTTAAAGTTTTCAAATTTCAAATACTTGTTCCACTTTTCATTTTGGCTAATATTAGCTTCAGAAATGATACAAATGACCTTACATTTTCATACTCCTTGTACTTCTCTCACTTTTTCATCTTTTGCTTCATACTTTTTCAGTTTCGGTATACTATACTACACAATACGCCTATTATTTTACTCTTAAAAATGTGTTAAACCTAAAGGAACCACTATTCAAATAGGGATAGGATCTAATATTTAACGCATGCAACAAATAGAGGACTTCCCAATTTGATAAAATAACTCCTACAATACAAAAAAGGTTCAAATGGACTAAACACTATAACTTAAAAAATAATCTCGAATGCAAACATTGAGTTCCTAAGAGCTGCACTATTACCAACTATTATCGAATGTCATACCAACTATTATTTGATGGTGGCAGTGTATTTAATCTTTTCCTTGAACAGCATTTTGAATATATCAATATCCAGTTTCATTAATTTGAGAGTAAACCAGTTCACAAAAAAATACCATGGGCAATTAAATTAAGCATTGAGCTCTAATAGTTTAGATGGCAATTAGATGATGGTCTATTAATGCAAAGTTAAGAAATCTTTCATGTATTTAAGGGCACTAGATAATACACAAAAAAGTAACAAAAGTATAACTAAATGTTATATTCTGACCTTATGTAAATTCTTTGTTAGAAAGGCCGGTTTTATTATGCATGTTTTAATCCTTTAGGGCGTTTACCTCATGTACTAAGCATAGCTAAAATCAGAAGGCAAACAATTCCACAAGAAACATTCTATAATGTTGAGTGCTACAAAAAGCACATACACATATACAGAATCAAGATTGTAAACTACAGCTTGAGAAACTAAAATCTCATGAAACAATCATATTTGATCAAGCAGTATGGGAATTCAGTGAAGCTGGAGATGAGCATAATCATACTTTATGAAATTGAAAAGAGAGACCAATTCTATTTACTAACCATCTAAAATTAAAACTTAGTATGTAGTTCCATTAAAGTGACAATAGACTAGTTCACCATCTAACATTCAAATTAGGGTAACAAATCAAAAAAATCATCAATTAGGTTAAACTTTTACGAGAAGTGGTAGCCTACCTGGCTACCTAGCGTCTTTGAGAAGTCGATGAAGCCACCAGTGGTTGCAATTTTGTTAAAGATTGGCTCCGCGCTTTTCTGGGAGGATGTAGGGGGGGAGGAGGGTGAGGAAGAAGCCAAAGTTTGGAAGATGGAGCTCTTCGCTTTGCTCTGTCTTCCTGGGTTTACTGCTGCTCGCACAAGTCCAAATCCTGGCCAAAAATGATACGTCGAGGTTATAGATTTAGAAGGGGAGACCTAAATTTTAAGGTGGAATTTTGGAAGGACGTAAATTTTGGAAGGACTTTTATGCAATTTTTTAATATCTTCCTCCCCTAAAACTTTGACAATTTTCCTATTTTGGATGTCCCGCTAATTTTGTCACTTTCCCTTTTATAAAGAATTTGTGGTTCCAGTTAATTCTCATTCATCTGCACAACTCTCAACCACACAGTTTTCGGTTTATTAATACACGTGACGGTCAAACTTTTAAGGAACGGAGGGAGTAAAATAAGGAAAATATATGAGGTGGAACAAACAACCAATTAACTTACGCCAGGTGTAAGATGCACCAAAAAGTTTCTCAGGCTATCCGCAAACCAATGGTGAATAAGCCAATTTTAAGCTATTCAGCCAATTTTAAGCTATGCACCAAAACGTTTCTAAGGTTAAAGGGTTAAATAGACCCTCGAATTAACTTACAAAGTGCAAATCACCCTTTATATACCTCTTTCCGGTCGTCCTCATTTGAGGTGGTTCTCGATGGAATTTTTTGATGAAATGTTTTGAGCATATTCTTCATTAAGTATAGTTTACTCATATCAAATTTCAGAAAAATTTAACCAGGAAGACCGTCAAATGATTTTCTGAAATGTACTGCGTTGTTTAACTGCGCAATTATCTTCAAAAATCATTTGACTGCCTTCCCGATTGAATTTTTAGATGAAATTTGGTATGAGTAAACTAGACTTAATGAAGAAGATGTTCAAAAAATTCATCAAAAAATTCCACTGAGAACCGCCTCAAATGGTGACGGCCCGAAAGAGCCATAAAAGTGATTTGCATTTTTTAAGTTAGTTCGATAATCTATTTGATTATCAAATTGTGCACTTCGGAGTACGAAATTGAAAAAGTTGACCACTCAAATACTTCATATACAGGTGAAACTTCAATGGACATAAAAACGTGAAGAAAATCATACATGAACAATACTTGATCGATGAAGTGTACGTGCTGTCACGGACTTGTTTCCTCAACAAGCTCACGTGCGGCCTTAGCTCCTTTCTGCCCCTCGCAGTAGCTAAGTCAGCCTGGACAACTCCTTAGTGTTGTGTGTGCTTAAGTGCTTGGCTAGAAGGAAATGTGGTAAAGGCAAGAACACTTGAAGAAAGCTTGAGACTTTATTGAATGCTTGGAAACTTCGATGTGTACAAATGAACCACCTTGAGGGGTATTTATACTTGCCCTCCTCCTCAATGGATGGTTGAGATCTATTTGATCTAACGGCTATGGTTTAATTCTAGAATATTCTATACAACTCTATCATATTCTAGAATATTCTACTATACTCTATACAAGTGTACATGTATCTACATGAGTCTAGAATATTCTCTTAGCCTCCAGGATTCTGCCCCTTCCTCTTGGGATGTTCTAGACTCTTCCTTGTCACCTGGCCACGGTTATGCTGTGGCGTGTGCCATGTCATGCCACGGCGTATCAGCCTATCGTGCCGCGGCATTGGGAGACTCGTAACGGTCTCCCCCACCTAACTTGGCGACGTCCTCGTCGCCTTGTGCGCCTCGAGCTTGTCCCGGAACTGCCACAAGTCTTCTTCAGGTTCCCACGTTGCTTCTGACTCGGGTAGTCCCTTCCATTTGATCAAGTAATGATTTTGGCGTGGAACGCCCCTCTTCCTAACCTCCTTTGTTGCGAGCACGTCTTCAATCTCTTTGTCGTAGGACTTAGTGACTATAGGCGGTGCTCGGCTTGATAACCCCCGACTTGGGTCTTCCTCATCCCCATGATAAGGCTTCAACATACTTACGTGGAAGACCGGGTGAATCTTCAATGTGCTGGGTAGGTCGAGCTTATACGAAACTTTTCCTACCTTAGCAATAATCGGGAATGGCCCCTCATATCTACGGACTAGGCCTTTGTGTAAGGTTCTCAATACCTTGAATTGTTGTGGTAAGAGCTTCACAAAGACTAAGTCCCCCACAGTGTACTCCTTTGGCCGCCTCTTCTCGTCCGCCCACTTCTTCATCCGCCTGCGTGCTTTCTCCAAACACGAACGAGCTAGATCGGTTTGTTCCTCCCAAGACTTCGCCATCTTAAGTGCTCCCGGGCTCTTCCCATCGTGGAGTGGCGTGGCTAAAGTGTGTGGAGTCAATGGTTGTTGTCCCGTGGCAAGCTCAAATGGACTTCGTCCCGTAGACTCACTCCGCTACAAGTTATATGAGAATTGGGCTATGTCCAAGAGTCTTGCCCAATCTCGTTGGTTGGCACCTACAAAGTGCCGAAGGTAGCACTCTAGCAAGGCGTTCACCCGTTCGGTTTGCCCATCGGTTTGAGGGTGAAAGCTTGTAGAGAAGTTGAGTTGTGTCCCAAGCAGCTTAAACAACTCAGTCCATAGTCGGCCCGTGAAGCGGGGGTCTCGGTCACTCACTATGCTCCTTGGAAGTCCCCAATACTTCACCACGTTCTTGAAGAACCCCCGTGCCGCCTCCTCCGCTGTGCAGTCTTTCATGCACGGGATGAACGTCCCATACTTAGAAAATCGATCTATCACCACCATGATAGATCCAAACCCCTCGGACTTCGGCAGGGCACTAATGAAGTCAATAGAAATAGAGTCCCATGGTCGCTCGGGAATGGGCAATGGTTCCAGCAGTCCCGTAGGTTGCCGATTCTCCACCTTGTCTTGTTGACACACAAGACAGGTCTTCACATAAAGCTCCACAGTGTCCCTCATCTGTGGCCAGAAATATGTTGTCTCAACAAGTGCTAGGGTGCGTTTTTGGCCGGGATGACCTGCCCACTTCGTGTCGTGGCACTCCTTGACGAGATCTCTTCTTAAACTCTCCCATTTTGGGACATAAAGACGACGCCCCTTTGTGTAGAGAAGGCCGTCCTCTTCCCAAAACTGTTGGGTTTTGCCCTCCTTGGCTAGCTTCATCAACTCCTTCGCCATGGGGTCGCGTTCAAGTCCCTCCTTGATGCGCCCGATCAGGTCCCCCTCCGCTTGACCAATGGCTGCGAACTCTGCCTTCCTACTAAGTGTGTCGGCTACAACATTGGCTTTCCCGAGTTTATACTCCAAAGTGTAGTCGAACTCCGCTAAGAAATCCTGCCACCTAGCTTGCTTAGGTGATAACTTCTTTTGAGTTTGAAAGTAGCTCGTTGCCACGTTGTCCGTCTTGATGATGAAGTTTGCGCCTATAAGGTAGTGTCTCCATACGCGCAAGCAATGAACCACCGCGGTCATCTCCTTCTCTTGCACGGTGTAACGCCGCTCCATCTCGTTCAACTTGCGGCTCTCGAATGCTATTGGATGCCTTTCTTGCATCAAAACTCCTTCAATGGCAAAGTTAGAGGCATCGGTTTGTACCTCAAATGGTTTGCCAAAGTCCGGTAGAGCTAGAACAGGCTCTTGGCTCACCGCGGCCTTCAGGTCATCAAAGGCCTCTTGACATAGGTCGGACCATTCCCAAGTTTTCCCCTTCTTGAGTAGGTCCGTCAATGGGGCTGCCCTCTTCGAATATCCCTCGATGAACCGCCGGTAATAATTTATCAACCCAAGGAATGACCGTAATTCGGTTACCTTGGTCGGTGCCTCCCATTCCACGATTTCCCTGATCTTCCCCATGTCCATCATGAGTTTCCCATGCCCAATGACGTAACCAAGAAAGTGTACTTCCTCCGTGGCGAACGTGCATTTCTCCTTCTTGACATAAAGCTCATTCTCCCGGAGTACCCGGAAGATAATGCGTAGGTGTTCCACATGCTCCTCCATTGAGTTGCTATAAACCACGATATCGTCCAAGTATACCACCACAAACCGGTCTAAATAGGGTTGGAAGATCTTGTTCATGAGCGTGCAAAATGTGGCCGGTGCGTTGGTTAGTCCAAAGGGCATTACTAACCACTCAAACGAGCCATAGCGTGTAACACATGCGGTCTTAGGCTCATCTCCCTCCGCTATTCGTACTTGGTAGTAACCTTTTTGTAGATCCATCTTTGTATATATCTTGTCCCCACCAAGTCTATCAAATAGGTCGGCAATCAAAGGAATAGGATAGCGGTTCTTGATCGTTACCTTGTTAAGCGCCCGGTAGTCCACGCACATCCTTAGCGTCCCATCATGCTTCTTTTGGAATAGCACCGGTGCGCCATAAGGTGCCTTCGACGGTCTCATCTTCCCGGTCCCTAACAGCTCATCGAGTTGGCGACGTAGCTCCTCGAGCTCACTTGGGGACATGCGATAGGGTGCCATTGCGGGCGGTTTTGCACCCGGTTCCAACTCGATCTTGTGATCCACCTCTCTCCTAGGTGGTAGCTTGTCGGGTAACTTTGCCGGCATCACGTCCTTGTTTTCCTCAAGGACAGCTCGAATAAGAGGTGGTATGTCCGTCGGCCCTTCCGTCTCATCATCCACCTTGAGTACGGCTAAGAATGTCGGTTCTCCCTTCTTCACCCCCTTGGCTACTTGCATAGCCGACAATGTCTTAACCCCACTTGGCCGCTCATTGGGAGTTTCCAATGTCGGTATCATGCACGATGAACCCTTCTCAAGAATGCAAACCGTGCTAAAGAATGGCATAGGGATCGCAGTTACCTGTCTCAGGAAGTCCATCCCTAGAACAACCTTGAAGTCATCCATTGGTGCCACCGAAAAATCCACTTGGCCCTTCCAAGCGCCTAGGCGTAGATTCACACCTCGTGCCACGCCGTTCAGGGGCTGAGCCTTGGCATTAACTGTTTTAAGCCACCCCTCGCCTCTGGACCATTGGAGACCAACCCTCTTGGCTTCCTCCTCAGTCACAAAGTTATATGTTGCGCACGTGTCCACCAATGCCCTTGTTGGTTTCCCATTGATGTATGCCTCAACGTACATGAGCCCCTTGCTTGTCGTCGTAGGCATCGGCTTCGCCTTGAGAGCATTAAGGATTTGGAGAGATCCCATCTTGCTCGTCTCCTCATCTCGGGCCTCCGCTTCTTGTTGCTCCACTATGGCAGACAACGAACCGAGCTTAGGACAGTCCTTCATGGTATGCGGTCCTTTG